CACGCGCGCGCGCGCGCGCGCGCGCTCCGGGCCACACTCACACGCCCTCCACGAGCACACTCCACCAGACTTTTGTTCCCGATGCCCCTGGCTGGTGACGGCGGATTGGCATCTTGGAAGCGATGCAAGAGCGATAAAGCTGGGGAGGATCCGCGGAAGGTTCAAGAGCATCGCTAGGTGTTGCCGCCACCAGGAAGCGGGGCTGCAGGTAAGAGCGAGCCGCGCCTGTGGCCGCGCTCGGGGCTGGGGCGGCCGGCCGAGAGCCCCGGGCTCGGGCGCGGTGCCCCCTCTCCGCTTGGCAGTGGGTCCGGACCGTAGGGCGCGCGCCGGGGAAGCTAGAGGTGTGGGCCGATGCCGGCCGGGCGGCCAGGTCTCTCTTCGCAGGGGCGGGCACGGGGGACGCAGAGAGGGGCACCCCGCAAGCCACAGAGGTTCCTAGAGCGAGCCCTTCCTTCTCCTCCCTGCTCGCTTTCTCTGAACCCCGAGAGCGTCCTGGTCGGTCCAGGGTGGAAGTCCGGTTCTAATTCTATCCCTCTTCCAGACCAATCCAGGCTGGTAACCATTTTGAACTCGAAATACGGAGTTGGGGTCGCGTTGAGGGAGGAGCAGTGGGTGGTATCAGGCCCCCTTTCTGAAATCCCCACTTTCTGTCCACTTCTGATTAGTTAATTTCCAGGCTTGGGTGCACACGGTGGGGCGTTTCAGAAAGGCGATGGATTCCGCCACCTCGAACTATCTTCATAAAGAATCATCTCGATAAGTTTCTGAGCCCCAGTTATTTAAAGGTTTGCTTAGATTCGGGGCTGGGGGGTGGGAAATGGACGCTTTCCTAATGAATGATTCTCCGGAAAGCTTTAGGAAAAGGTCCTTTCACCAACAGTATTCTGGAAAAGAACACCGTAGGGAACGAATGGGGTTTCCTTTCTTTCCGGGAGACACCTTCCAAATGTTACCACTAGTACAGTGTGTCTGCCCAGCCAGTTTTGCTGCCCTCGCCCCTGGCAGTGCGAAAGGCCCGGTGCCCACCCAGAAGTGTTTTCTTTAGGCTACCGATTTTCACCGGTCTGTGGGGAGCGTGGTATGTCTAGAAACTGCTTCGCAAAGGAAAGTTTGAGACCATCGTCCTCTTTCAAGTATCCAACAACTGCAAGGTGAGCTATCCAGCCTCCACTGGAAAGGACGAAGTGTGGGCGCTCACTGAGAGGCCTGCTCAGTATGCCACTTCCTGACCGAGCATTGAACCGTTGCCGAAGCCCTTGAAATCAGATGTGCATTTCCTACAGTGGGGAGCCTTCTGTTGGCAGAGTGTGGCTTGTGGAAGGAAAACGGAACAAAAATAGCCATCCTTTTGGGAGTGTGGAATCTCCTTTTGAATACTGGCAAAATTGTTCTTGGAACCCATGCCCCCAACAAAAAATAGTAACCTCCACTCCCCTGAACACATCTCATCTTTACTCCGATGAGTCCCCCCCCCCCCCCCCCAAGGATAGGATTCGGATTCAGAATGTAAGGAGCTTTCTTTCACTCAGGACAGGGCTGAATGAAATCAGGATTGGGCTGATGGTAATGATCTGGTTTCTGTCTTTCCCCACTAGATTGTTTTAGACATCAACATTTAGGAGGTTATCAATGAGCACTTCCAAACGGCTCTTCTAGGCATAAGTTAAGATAAATGAGTAATTAATGTATTCTGTGTAAAGTGCTAAACTGCAATAACTAACAAATATTAAAAACACTTCTGGAGTCTTAATAATAATAATAAAACCCAAAACCAGAGTATGAAGGTTATTTGTATTTACTTTCCAAGTAAATGTATTGACTTTCCAAGTTTACACATGTCTTCAGGGGCTGGTGAATCTTTTACAATTTCAAAACTGGCACCTTGCATTCTATATTTAAAAAATATTAGGCATGTTTAATTGTCCATTTTTCTCCTGTATTCTGTTCTGGATTTCACCCCGAGTCAATTGTTTGGATCTTGACCTTTTAAGAATTCAAAAATTTGAAGCCAAAGGTCATCAGAAACCACACCAGAACTCCTTTTATTTTCCATTCTGCTAATTTTAAGTATAAAGACTTGAGTTGTATTAATGATAGGTATAATATGATGAAAGCACTGTCTTTGCATACCTAATATTTAGGCATTGGGGACTCTTTCAAGAGGCAGAATATAATTTTGGATGTTGCTTGTTTTAAATTAGGCATTTTTAAAAAAGATTAAAATATTGTTTCTGTAAAACACCCTACTTTTGAGATTGAAGTATTGTTTCTTTTCTTGCCTTTGAAAAATTTAGTAGTGCAAGATATTTGAGCTTACATATTTACATATAGAGCTATGATTTATGTCTCTTAAGGAAGAACCAGGAAACCTTGAGATTAAAGCAAGCACCTGTAATCTGCAAGTTGTGCTAGAGGAGACCCTAAGGTTCCTGACTACGTGTGATTTTGAATCTGCAATGTATTAGCTACTTTAACAATGATAAATTGGAAAATGTAGGTTCATTGAGATGGCCACAGATCTGTGTCAAAATAGATACATATTGCTTAGAGAATGCATTACAGCACTTATTAACCACCAAGTTTTAAAATGTGATGACATGACTTGTAAAATGATCTGCTTTTAGACATGGCCACTTTCCTTTTAAAAAATTTACAAAGTGATGAAACATAGGTGATAGAAGATGTTATAAAAATTATTTATGTATCCTATAATTTTAGTGGTTCTGTATTCAGGATCTTTAATGTATTTTAATGATGATCCTTTGAAAATGTGCTTTTTGAATAGTCCAGGGTTCCAGGTGCATGTTAAGGCTGATTTATCACTAATTATTACTGGTTATAGATTGTTGTATACAGGTAGATAAAGATGTGCCTTCCCAGCATTTTCCAGGCATGTTTTGTCATACTCCTGAAGAAAAGGTACTGTCAGATTCTGCCCTAGTCCAACAATGGCTGCAAGCTGATGATCATTTACCTTTCTAATGCATGTCCAAACTAGGAATGTTACAAAATGTCACCAGTTATTCCTAATATATTTGAAAAGATGAAACAACCAGAGTGCAAACAGTCCGGTGCCCCTGCATTTACTTCTGCAGTATTTTATTAGGGATGCCTCATTAAGTCGCATTATTCTGCAGCTGTTTTGTTCATTGAAGATTCAAGTAAAAACAAGGAACTTTACTGTGCGATGCAGCTTTGTTTTCTTGGTTAAAAACCAGAAACTGAAGCAAAATAAGCACCCAATACAATCCCCTCTGATCTATGGCTGGCATTTACAAATGTAATTCATCAGCCTGCTATTAGTGGAGTTCCACCAAAATAAGAAAAGAAGCACATTAACATAGACTACTGCTAGATACAAAGCCAACCCAGCTGAATCAACTTCCCATCTGGCTCACATGTTTGTGTATTTCACGTGATGTATTTTTTTTATGGACCACTGGCTTTAATACCATGCATTTGCCATTGTGTTGGAAAATTCTTTGGTTAACTTTACTTTGAATGACTTGGAGCATCTTGTGGTTGCTTTAATTATCCCATTGGAAGAAAAGAGTACTTGCACAGAGCTACCGTGAGGGCTTTTTTTTTAAGAGTTTCACTCTAGATGTAGAGGACAGTGTGACACAGAGGCCTAAACATTACTTTTGGCTTCTTAGTGAGCACTAACTATTGACTTATTGGCTCCGTTCCAGAAGATGTCATTCTAATCACTCAGCCAGTGAGTGATTCAGTGCCCTTGTCACTGAAATAAAACAAGCGCTTCTTGTCTTCTTCATATCTACACCCACATTTTAAAAGAAATGGCTGGACCTATTGGAATTTTAAGAAAAACATTTAAACACCCACTCAGACATACGGTATATGTATGCTTTTAATGACACGATGTATAATACTAATATTATAAAAAAAGGGGGGGGGTAGAGTAAGAATAGCCTTATAAAATCATCTACATTAATAGTTTTCAGTGTTTGACATGATTTGACCTACAGGGCAACATGACCTCTATGATGGGTTTCATTATTTGAGCCCCTGTTCTATAAAGTCTATTTTGCTCTTCAGGTTTCCTTTTGGGGAGAGTTTTATTTATGAGGCTATAAAATGTGAAGAAGTCCATTTTACCTTATAAGAACTGATGCTTGGGGATGCGTTTATTGACACCAGGCCCAGGAATTTTGACACATTTTAAACACTGCATATATCTGTATGCAGACTTATTAAATTCACGCTTTCAGAATCAAAATAAAACCGTGCATTACATTAGGACATACTCTTCTGGGTTTACAAATGGTATTCCAAACAGTGTATTCCAAATTTATGGTAGTATATTCCTAAAAATTACTTAAAATCTCCAAACCCCACTCACTTTCAATATGTATAATACACGTATATGTTGGATTTCATCCTGTGCTGTAATGGCAAGCAAGCCAATAACTGGAAGCAATACTAATCTCAACCATTTAGGTAATTGATTGTTAGTGACACCGGAAAATATAACTTCCTGTGTGCTTGCTTGGGATCCAGATGAACAGAGAATATGTAAGCTTTAAGGAGAATATTCCATTTTGCTCACAGTGGTCTGGTATGAGCTATAGTCACAGAACCAGAGTTTATATGCTTATAGTAAGTAAAGTCCTTTTAATCACTTTCTTCAATCTCTTAAATTACTTCATAGTAGCTGTAATTGTTTTATGATTTCCCCTGAATGGCCAGTTAGCGTTAGGTACATCTCCCTTTCCCTTAGCAATAGTGCAAATGTAGCCATTTAATTAAATTTATATTTATATTGCCTCTTTTATATGGGAGATTTTGGAAACCCTTTACAGAGTGATTCAATAATGTGATAATGCTGCATTCTAGCAATTATGATTGGAGGCCGCATTTAGGATGTTGACAAAATGGGACAACCAGCCAAACAAGTCTTCCCTGCTCTTTTCTCTTTGTGCTATGCAAAGCTAGCTCCATGGGAAGCCCGCAGAGTTCAAGGTAGCTTTTGATGAATGCAAGGTTTGTTTTACTAAATATTTTAATGTTTTTTGTTGCCATGAAGGAGTCACTATAAAATTGCATATGAATGGGCAACTGTGTTGACCTTTAAAGGTTAAACAAAGATTGTCGACCTTTCAATGTACAGTGTTAATTGCTTATGGTCTCCTGTAGCAGCATTGGGAGCTTTCTGTTGAGCTTGATAATGCATGGTAATAACTTTGG